TTCTCCTCTTAGTCTCTAATGGTCAAGGATTTGATTCATCAAGAGTTTAAGACATGGAATATAGCTGCGATCCGACAGCATTTACCTCACCATGAGGAACATATCACCAAGCTAGCCCTAAGCTCCTTTCCGATGGAATAGATTCTCTGGTATGGCTCCCTGTTCAAACAGGCTTGTACTCAGTCAAGTCGGGTTATGCACTCATGAAAAAAAACCACCACTCCCTCGTAATCGATGATTTTGATTGGAAATCTTGTATTTGGCAAATCAAGACACCACCGAAATTGCAGAAGTTCATGTGGAAATTAAAAAACAGAGCACTCCCCGTTGGAAATAATCTTTCGACTAGAGGGATTCAAGGGGTTAATCGCTGCAAGCAGTGTGGCGCAATGGAAGATGCAGTCCATATTGTTTTCTCTTGCCCTTTTGCTTCCGGTGTCTGGGACTTGATACCGACCATGCTCAAACCTTCGACAAGTGCCCTTACTCTGACCGAGTTATTAATGGTGGCTCCTCGACAAGTCAATCTTCCACCAACCGGAATTTCATCATCGCCTCTATACCCATGGGTGTTTTGGCATTTGTGGAAGGCAAAGAACCACCTGTTGTTCGAAAATATAAGATTTACGGAGGTGGAAGTGTCCCTTAAAGTTATTACAGAGGCTCGGTCTTGGCATGATGCCCAAATGATGATATCAAAAATTTCAACGAGACCCAGGCAGATTCAACCTCAGGCACCACTCCAACGCTCGATACATTACTACATTGATGCTTCATGGATGTCCTCCTCTCTGCATTGCGGGATAGGTTGGTGGCTTAAAGATGAAGATATGAAGACTTTGTCTCAAGGCTCTGCATCTCGCCGAATGGTAGCTTCGGCACTTATGGTTGAAGCTATTGCTATGAAAACTGCCATAAGCGCAGCCTTCAACGCTGGATTCCGGTCACTCAACATGTTTTCGGACTCCCGTTCTCTTGTCACACTAATCAATTCGAATGGTGTGTTCAATGAGTTGAAGACTATTCTCCATGACATTCGTTGTCTAAGTTTAGAATTCACTTCTATCATGCTTATCTTTATTCCGCGATCGGCAAATGTTGTCGCCAACGCTTTAGCGAAGTCGGGTCTTGTATCCCTTAACGTTTCCTCCACCAGTGGAATTTAGTAATCTATAAAATCGGTTGGCTCAAAAAAAAAAATCCGTATCATCAGGCTAAAAACCGGCCAAAACCAGTTCAAACCGGTAAACTACTGGTTTTGATATTTTTCCATCTATTTTGAAGAAGCGAATAAACGAAAGAATTATTTTTCTTTCCTCTGCAAAAAGTCGCCGCCCATATATAAGAGATTAG